AGCCTGAACTTTGCCATCCAGCGCAGCGTGACGATCCCAGGCGTCTGCCCGTTGCACACACCTGCTTTAATGTGCTCGATTTGCCCGAGTACCGGTACGAAGCTGATTTGCGCGCCAAGCTCTTGTACGCGCTCGATCACGGTGAAGGTTTTGCTTTGGAGTGAGCTCCCTTTCGTTTTCTTTTTTGTGTGTGTGCGCGCGCTCATTTTCTATCCCTCAATCATGCTAATCATCATTATGCTTCGAATCAGTAGTGTGTGATGCGATGTTGTCCGAAAAAAAAACCCCCCCCAATCAAATGTACTTTTATCGTCATCTCTTCTTCAAAAAGCGTAGAATCTCTAATTAGCGACAAACAACCAAATTCACAGTTGTGCTTCGACAAACAAAACAATACTACAACAATCTCGTTCAGCGTTGAGGCTCTCGATCCGCAGCGCTCTCATCTTCTCCTTGCGACAGCTCGGGAAGCACAATTTGTATGACGTCGGCGAGATACATGGATCCCGAGCCTGCGTGGACGGTGATGGTGTCGGTGTCCTTGTCAAACACGGCGGCGTGCCCGTAGCGGGGCGTTGGCAGCGTGCCCTTCGAGCCGACTGCAGCCATGCGCAAGTGCTGGCTCATGTCGAGCCACAGTTCATGCGCTTTCCAAGTGAAGTCTACCAACCAAGTATGTTTGTTGTTATTTACAACAAGGCTGCCTTGACTCGGTCACCAAAGCAAGGAACGACAACGCGTGGCACGTACCTTTGAGGGACAGGGTCAGAAGGTCGCCCTGCGGCATTTTCGTTGCGCCGTCATACCCGCCAAACACGTAAACATGGTCGTCCCGGATTGTGATGCACGGAACAGGTCTCGCCGTGAAGGGAATCTTGCCCTGGGTTGACAAGGGGGTCCAGGTTGCAGCTGCGGGGGGCAAGTTCCAGTTACGGTGAGTGCGCGTCGCATTCTGCAAGCCAAAGAAAAAAATGCAAGACCATAGAACCGAGCAAATTACTTGAAAGATCCAGGCGATGCAAGTCGCTGAGGTAGGTAAAGCCGCCGTCGGCAGTATGACCTCCGAAAATAAACAGCTCCAAACCATGAAGGAATGCAAAGTGACCAGCGCGGTGCTCTGGAGGGTTGGACGCGGAGATGGGGCTCCAAGTGTTTGATGCTGTTGCACATCAACCGAGCATGTGTAAGAACGACGAAGCTGTTGCATGCGGGGGGGGGGTTGAGGATGATTGTGTCGAAATGGGTAACGTACCAAACTCAAACTGCCACAAATCGGTCTGGTACTTTTTGAGATCAATCGCCCCAGAATGAACAAACATGTGTGTGTCATTCGCGGCCACTGCATGCTGATAGCGCGGTCCCGGCCAGTTCTCCGCGGTCGTGGGAACAGCCGACCACACGAACGAATCTAGAATGTCGATTTGACTGGTTTTGTGAGCGACAATTCATTGACTGCGGTCATTTTTTTTTTCAAAAGCTTACCCAAGTCCAACGAGTACATGTCATGCAGAGCTTGCTTGGAGCTACTGATGCCCCCAAAGACGAGCATTCGCGTTTTGCCATCCCCCGAGTGAACGACGGCAGAATGACCACCGCGCGGAGTGGGCACCGTGCCTGACGCCTCCACCTGCGTCCACTCGAGCGTGTCTAAAACCAAACGACGAAAATATGCCAGAGACCAACACGACCATCGTGAGTGACATGCTCATCGGTACTTGTGGCACAATTGGCGCTCACAGAGAATCCAGTCAGAGTTCCAAACGTTTCCTACCCAGATTGAGCGTGTACAGGTCATTCAGCATCTCGGTCGAGGCTTTGCTGCCACCAAACACAACCATCTTGCGGCGGTGCAGGACTGCAGTGTGGTACCGACGGGCGCTCGGGCCAGTCGGAGCAGTCGCGGTACCAGCAGCGCTATTGGCGGTTGTTGGCTGACTCGATCCAGCAGCAGCAGCAGCAGCAACCATCGTCGTCCCGACACGACGCCAGATGATGGGATCGTCCTCATCGTCTTTGGCAGGGGCAATCACAAAGGGCGCCTCTTCGGTCGGCTGCTGCGGCTCGGTCATGACGTTCAGAAATTTTCCAATGCAAAAGCAACAACCAGCGATGAAAATTGTTGGACTGGTTGGCACGTCTGTACATGTACAGTGGATAGATGCTGAGATCCAGTGCGTAGCAGCACAGAAAACAAAAAAAAAGGAGTTTGGTTGGATTGTGTCTCGAATGGAGTCAGCGAGAACAAAAAGGTGCGTTGATGTTGAACGAAATGCGCAAACTTGGTGACACGCAGACCTTGCAGCACACAACTATATCCAGTCGGGACGATATCGATGACTATAGACAACACTACCAACATCAAACAGCTCGATGAATTGCTGATCTAGGGTGCGCGACTTTGGATGGGAAAACCGCCGGTACTCGTCGCAGATGCTCGTATGACTCCATCGTTGCATCTTCCGGAGGCATCCAACAAGACACCCCGTTCGATGCTGCAAAGCAACGACCAAGCAAAAGAGCGCATAGTGGAGTTAGACCGCCACAGCCATCAACGCAAAGTGCAGTGCAACCACATCCGGTCTTACCTTGCCCTTGTTGCAATGGATAAGAATAGGATGACAGCGAGTATCTGCGACAACGAGAAAAGGGACATAAGCAGAGTGAGTGACAAAACCGAGCGCTGCTGGTCGGCATTGCGAGTGTTCAGTCGTCGTACCCAGCAATACGGTCAGAGCTTGCTGCATCTTGTCTTCTGGAATGTCTACAAAAGGCTCCTGCAAGAAGGATGTCATGCTCACGTCAGCTTCTCACTGAAAAGTGACAAATGCAGACACCAATCCTGTTTGTTCGGGGTGGCTTTTTTTCACCTTGTTTCCGGGAACGCCAAACTGATACAGCGTAATGTGGTTGTCTGCCATAAACTTTTGATTCGCATCTGGTATTTGCTCTTGGACCAGCGTGCTAGAAGCGCAAGGATGCACGTTGGGTTTGCGCTTGAGACTTGGGCTGCAATTTTCATTCTCTCTCTCTCTCTTTCGGTCCCTTACAGGATTGACTTGAGTCCCAGTTTTTCAAGTAGGC